GGGGCATAGGAGGGGAGTTGGGCTGTAAAATACAACTGTAGAATAAAATTGACAGGGCTAACCTTCATGGGTTTGTCACTTAAAGATTTCCAAAGTGATAGAGATCTCCATTTATAGAGTTGACATGGTTTCAATTTCATACTTAGAGGAAGGGAAAAGAGAAGTTGGGGAAATCAACCATTTATAAACCCCACACAACAAATTTACTTCTCTATGAGAATATGAGTAAATTTTACTATGCCACTGACAATAAGTTGATTGTGTACTATAACTAAATGTGGCAGTAACACAAATTTTTCAAAGCAAGTTATCACATTCATCAGTAATCTTTTGATAAGGGTTTCAAATGATAAAAGTAAAATGCCATGATATTTTCTCTCACCACTTGTGACATAGCCTTCTTCTCCAATTTCTACAGCCACCCCAAAGTCAGCAATCTTGATTGGTGCTGAATTCTCTTTACTTGCCAACAGAATGTTGTGAGGCTGCCAGGAATAAAAATATTGTGACATTCAGTCAAAATCCAGACAAGTGATACTTTTATCATAGTTAAGATACACTTATATTTAGTATGTGGGTAAAATCTGGTGAGTTTCTGCAAGATTTTCCATTTGATTTTCTACATTATAATAGTCCTGTAAAGCTCTACTAACCTAGTCTCTTACAGGATCTAAAAATCAGTTTTCCTCATTTTTAACTCTAGGAATGTGGTATTGAATCCAAAATATCCATTTATTGGTATTTTTTTTGTCTCATCCCAGTCAGCTTGAAAATGAATTTATATTGTACAGAAAAACATGTATTTATCTTGGGTCATTCCCAGGGATGAAAATGTTGATGAAGTTGAGATGGTTGTCCCTTTGTGGTGTTTAGTGAGACTTGTACAGAGGTTCTCATCAGTCCCTCAAAAATAGGATGAGAGGGTTGTCAGTCAGGGCAATGGATCTTGTAAACTACCTTGTCTGTTGTTTAGTTCATAAACGTTATAGCAGTTATTGGTTATATGCAAACTAATGTTGATGTGTAACGGGCCACAGGCTGTAAGATCTGTGTGATGGTTTTGCACATGCCCCTATGGTCACCATACTTGTTGGAGTTTTACTGTAATAACAATCAAGAGTCAGAATACACTCTCAAATAATCAGCAAGTTAATCCATATCTTACCTTAAGATCTCGATGTATGATTTCATTTTCATGACAAAATGACACTGCCTCCAAAACTTGTCTGAGATAGTGACTGTTGATTCAAAATTATAGATAGCACTTACTCCAAATGTAAAGCAATGCATACTTCATTGACCACTCTCCCAAAGGGACTTTTTAGAGCCAATAAAAACAAATTGGAAACAAACATTTTAAGTTAACATGGTGTTTAAAAATCCTAATCAGCAGGAAGCAGACCATTTGGCTATGTACTGTACATGTAAGAAGTGCAGCCAAGGGGTTGAAGTGAAGACAGACTAGAACAAGTCCATTCAGTTGTGAAGGGCTTGAACCTGGTACCACCTGGGCCTGGTTGTTCCAATGGTGGTGCACTTTCCAAAGGATATGTCACTATCCAGCAGATAATTGTAATAAAACATACTGTGCAATCCACAAGATAGAGATTTATTTAGTGGATAGTGTTATCCACCCTTCGAACAACTGGAGCCAGATTACAAGCCCCCCACCCTTGCCAACCTTGTTGCACTGCCTTCACTTCCATACTCCATGGAATACTTTTTTCTTGAATAAATTTGCAACATGGAGTGAGATTCAATAATTTCCAATTTCCATAATAAAATTCATATAGTTATCATCATCATTATTATTACCATTGATCATCTTTGTCACTATTGGCATCATCATTATTACCATCCTCATCATCATTATCACCAACTTCTATTATCAAGATGAATTTATCTTCTCACCTTGCTACGGCTTCACTGTAAACAAAACCCGCATGCACACGATTCACTATTTCAAAACACAAATCAGCACCATCCAAACTGCAAAATTAAATGTAAAACACTGCATTCAAAAAATGAAAAATGATATAAAATGCTGTAATTAAAATAAGCATGTTTGATATTTTGCTTTCTACACAAACACACATGACGCTTAAAGATAAGAAACAGCCCTGAACAATTTGTTTTTATTATGTAATTCAAATATCTGGACATATAATTATATCTAATTCAGCCTCTTGAATGTTATAGAATTTCAGTCTCACTTCATCTCAACTCAAGAAGTGTTTCCCAGCATTTTGACTCAAACAAAAAAAGGGAAATTACTATTTGCCAACATCTAAGTACATAAAAAGTTACATCAACTAGTGAGAAGCAGCATGACTACATACTGTGGTTGCAATTAATTTCTGTATGTGGCTTTAACAATACTCACTATTCAAAAACCATGTATATATATCCACTCACAGAGTATGCTCCTATGATTTCAACTGCAGAAATAAAAATACAAAGTCAAAATACAGTTGCAGCTCTCAATATTATAGAACATTGCAACATTTCTCAATACTGTAGAACAACTATATGAAATAAAAACATTTTCCCCTTAAAAGTGCACAGCTGTACTCTAGCAGTACCCAGAGGTCCCTAGTGCCTTACTTTTGCTCTAAGGAATCTTTCTTTCTTTTCCCGTGTACATGTAAAGCATATGCTGGGCACCTTTGGTTTTGCATTGGGCTTTAAGCACTGGGCTCCCTATAATTTTTCTTAGAGCACAGCCATGAAAGTCTACCAAAATGTTGTCATCATGAAAAGACATCATATGAAGTAATTTTTCAATAAATGATAGAATTTTAAAATGTCCAAAGGAAAAAAAATAAAAATGAAGCAAAATAGTATGGGTATTATAACATGTTCACAAATATAATGTTTTTCCTACTCATTGCAGAAACCCTGTATTGTATAAACATGCATTATACCCCAGAAAAAGGGAATATTTGAATTCAATCTGCAAGAACACAGTATGTATCACGTTTTTGTTCCTTTATCATTCTGACTTTTAAATAAAAAAAATTTCAAAAATTAAATATTTGATATATATCATTATCGAATTTAAACAATACTTATAAAATGGTAATCAAAATAATGAGACACTAATAGTAATGATAATAACAATATGAAGAGGAATAGAGTAGATACTAAACTACATGAAGACATTTATATGTCCATCACGATATAAATGGTCAGAGCTGTTCGCATGAAAGAAGTAAGCTGATGACATCAATCTACACTAAAAACAGTTCTTCATCGTTATGATTTACAAAGTGATGACACAGCCATTGTATTTTTATGGTTCATTTAACCCTTTAACTCCCAAGATCTAATTGTTAATTCTCTCCTGTAGCTGCTACACATTTCTGTGTAAATTGGTTATGAGAACTTAATGCAAGATCAAGATAGCAGCTTCTACCTGATAAGTTTGAATATTCTCATTAACTGTTTGCTGAAGAATGTATGGATGTTGTAGGGAGAAGTTTTATGTTAATCACTTCTGGGAGTTAAAGGGTTAATATTTTCATTCATTTAGCACTTAAAAATATTCTGAAGTCAGAAAATCATGCTCTATCTTAAAGAATTTCACATGGAATGTATTTTTATTATTCCACAGAGCTGTGATCCTCAGTACTGTGGCACTACAACCTTTGCGAATCTAGTAATCTGCATTGAATCGACTTGATGATGTCGATACCAGAGTTTTAAAATCTTCCATGTGCATTTTCTACCCAACAGTATGTGCATTTATTTCCCATAAAATTTTTTGTCACTATGAGTTCAGCAACCAAACACTCTTTTATCATCTGTATCTGACCATTAATTTTGCTGTTTACCATTCTATTAGTTCAATGGCCACTTAAATGCAAATTCAATATTCTACAAGATTTGCATGTACCTGTACCAAAATTAAATTCTGACAATCACGGGGACCAGCTGACATCTAATGCACAAGTCTTATTTATTTACTTGGAGGAAAAAATGAAATAAATGCATTCTTTACTTGGAAAAAGAAAATCTCATTTTAAATTTGAAATTTTAGTGCTTTTCCAAAAGACCAATCAAAACTTTTAAACTATAGATGGAAAGACTTAATCCATTTAGAAATGTCTGTATTTCTTATTATTTTTTTTTGTTCTTCAGAAAAGCAAACTCTTGAGTCTCACTTCACTCATAGGATTCAAATTGAATATTTTAACTAAATCTAAACGAATTGTGAAATAAGAAATAAAATTAGATCCCACGGATTACGACTTCAATCAAATCAGCGGTGGAATATACATTGTATCTACAGCAGGAAAACTCCACGAGTAATTGATACTTGTTTAAATGGTATAATGCCCAAACAACAACAGCGGACACCTAAAAAGCATGTCGCCAAACGAGCGGAAAATTTACATGACAGAAGTTTTCCTTATTCATATCCGTTTATACTGTACCTATATGAGGATGCCGCAATTTCTGGCAGATACGGGCCTCCCTCTGTAAATCTGCGAACGGTGAATTAAAAAAAAAGTTTAAATATCTTTTCAACGTAGAATGGATAGGTTACTTTCTGATGAAAATTTTTAACGCGTAAAGAGAACGCCTTGTGGGCACTAGAAGGCTCAACCACCCTGAAACAGAAAGATGCGAAACCACCAGAAAGAAGGTTTGAGAAATACAAACCGCGTGTCCAGAATTAACAACCCCTTCACTGGATATCTAATAACATAAGAGGACATTTCTCGCATCGTTAACTGTTCCCAGTATCTGATAAATAGCGCGAGGAAAAATATTTCAATTCACCCTGACGTGCATGTAGTCTTCGTTCGTTTGCCTAAGGAACATTTTTATTGCTTTCATTTAGAGGTCTATATGGAAAAACACATATTAGAAGAGCAGATTTAAGGCAATCGAACCTTAAGTATTGCATCGGCAAGAAGTCAATAAAAAATCGAACGTTAAATTCACGTTCAGTTCGGTGTTCTTCAAACTTTAAGCACATGCAATATCAAGATGCTTTCATTACATTAGATTTAAACATTAGCAAACCGGATAACAACCAAAATCCTCTTGCACCTGAATATTATGCATAAAATCAGCAAGATAGCGGCATATTACCTTCTTCTGTCAGACCACTCGAGGAGGACATTTTTGCAATATCTACAATTTTCACCGCACACACTCGATCGCTTCTTTTGTCGAAACATCTTCGAATAACACTGAAAGTACCTCTGCAAACAAATTAATAGGTACGCTTTACACTTCACAACATTCGACGGTAATACAAACTACACATTTTTAAGATATCGACAAGGTAATACAAGAAGATAAGAAGTCATAAAACCAAGATTAGGCAAACACGCAAACATTGGTGATTCGCAATTGCAACTGCCTGTTACATTTGGTTCTCGAACGACCTTTCAGATATCAGCAAGAATACTAACTTTCCGATTTGTTCTTGAAGGTCGAACCGCGACGGAAACCCGTTTTCCATGTCAAATGTAGACAATTTCCTTCTCAAATTTAAGTTTCTAACCGCTGGATTTCAAGACTTTCGAGCCGATAGCCAAAAGAGCATGGCTACAGTAGTTAGGTTCGGTGCGCGAAGGGAAAATGCCTTGCCCAGATCAGATGAAATGACCACTATAACAGCTGTAAGCTTGGTTACACAGCTGCTTGGTAGCCACGCCAAATCTCAAATTCCTGATCGTCTCTTCCACAACCCTAACTTGCACGCTTAGAGTTAACCGCAAAAAGGAACCTAGGGTTATTGAAGTGGCCCGTGAAATCAATGTAAATTAAAATTAAGATAGGATTTGAGTATGTCTAAACGAAACGCGCGTGATTTTGTTTGTTTGTCTGTTTAATCGTGAAAATCCATTAGTTTAATTCTTTTGAGCCAAAAAGTCTCAAGTTGTTTGTGTTCGATTCTGGAAAGCTCCAGCCTGAATGATTTAGCTACAGAAAGTTCAAGACTAATCCAAGTATTGGCAACTAAGGACTGAACAATGCGGTAAAAATAAGCTGCTCATAGCCATTTTAAATACTTCGATCCCCTTTCAGACGATGACCTAAGGTCTGTGAACGGACAAGTCTGTAATGACCCCCAGGGGACAGCCGACACTTCACAAAAAGACCACGTACGTATCAAACTTCGTTCTGAAAAGCCCTGGAAACGAGGTTGGCTCGCATGCACTAACGGTTGCGATGTGTAAATTTGTTAAAATGAGAAAGCGACAAGAAAGGGCTAACGCTAGAACGTCAGCGTTAGAAAATTTTTACGGTGGTCAAATTACATTAGAAACTCAATTGATTACACCAAGTAATCTCGTAATTTACCTCCCACCGATGCGGCAACACAGTACAAACTTACGTTTACATCCTTTTTTACCAAAATTAAGAAGAATTATGATTAGTCTATAATAGCTCTTATTCAACGTGCATTCATATATATTTGACAATTAGATTACCTCACTTCTAATATGACAATTAGATTACTTTACTTCTAACATGACAATGAGATTAGCTTACTTCTTACATGACTTTGACTGGTCTAACTGTGCTGTCGGCTGCGCTAAAGTGTAATTTATTTAGAACCAACATCATGACCAGCTCCCAGTTGGCTTGTTAGCTCAGTTGGTAGAGCGCTGCACCGGTATTGCAGAGGTCATGAACGTACAGGCCTGAATTTTTTTCAGGCCTAATTTTCACTACTGCCTAAGTATTGCACATTACTGCGAGGATCACTTTCATTCACGTCTTTATCCGCAGTTCAAATATATGACTTTCATATATTCTTAACCGTTTAAAGTGTAATTTGATAAACATAACGTCTTTCTAGAACAACGCTTAAATTTCATAGATATTATCAAGCACCCATACATTTTACTGTTTTACTCCTAAAAATTGCACTCAATATGTTTTAAAAAACAACCACGTAGTCTTCTAATAATACATTCTTAACTAAACTGTGCATGCGTTTAAGACCGAAATTAGGCGATAATAGAGACTGGGTCGAGTGTGACACAATGTATTGTGGGTAATCACAAAATGGCGCCGACCTCGACCCGTTCGATTCAGAAAGATAGCATGTAATTATGTTTTGTCAACATGTGAGTAGATTACGGCAGCGTTTTGCTGCCAGATAGCTTTGACAGTAATGACAGTTGAACACTCTTCAACCGCTAATAAGGTAAGATTATCTACTGCTAAATTCAGTTCCTTTCTTCTCGATAGCGTGTATTTGATGAAGATTTGGTATTTGATTCATAGTAGGCTACGTACTGTTCACCAGTCTAGTAGTTAATGTATGTAGACCTGATTCTAGTGAGTAAGACATGGTAGATCGAACTGGAAAGATACTATTGGGATTTTTGTTAAGGAAATCCGGCATCCAAAAGGTAAAACAGTGTTAAGAAAGGCTAGCCAATGTGCGATCGAAAAAATTGACGAAAAATCTTAAATTTTGAAGGATCTCAATATAAAAAGACGTTAATGAAACGAACGAATCAAACTCCACTGGACATTGATATTGTAAAATTTGCTATATTTTAACATCTTAGTCTGAGTACTAGATTAAATGTTATGTTTACCTCTGTGCCACGCGATCCAGGTGTATGATCATGGCTTTGCTTGTCATGGTGTCTTCAACTGTACATGGAAATTTAACTTGATCCTCAACTTTTGAAATAGTCAAAAACATTTTTCTTGTGACTTCCATAGCAAAATGATCAGATACAAGTTTTAATTACATGGGTCTGCTGTGCTTTTAAAAGGGACCAATATTTGTAGTTCAAGAAGCTACTCACCCCACAACAGTAATGACCAAAAAAAGGTTTCAAGTTAAAAATTGATTTCACTTTATCTGCTAAGCTGTGTATTACAAGAAGGGCTGGGTGTCCAAGTACTCTTGTCTTAGAAAACTAGAGCAGACAGAATTTAACAACAAGTTGCCAACACAGCGATAAGAAAAAAAGCCATTGTATTTATCAGTTGAGAAGGTCTATCACTGTTTGAACTTCTCAGCAGATCATTTATAAAATCTTTCAGACAGAACAGAATTGTTTTCATGTGTACAAATTTTGCGTGAGTGAGTTTTTCAGTTTTTTTTTTTCTTTTTGGTTGAGTTGCTCTTTAGAGGTTTGTTCAGTTTAGATTTAAGAGTTAACAGTGCTTCTATTTGGTGGTGTCCTTTTTGGCCTTCTTCTTCTTCTTCTCAGAGAGAAGTACAGTTGAACCTGTATTATGCAGCACAATATTAAATGGTCATCCTATATTGTGCAGTTGGTTGTCAAAGTAACCAAATTGTTTCCCCTTAGGTACTGTAATTTTCATCTCTATTAGACATCCCAGTGGCCAGTTTGTATTTTGTTCTGCTTGTATCAAAGGGTGACGTAAGGCAGAACCACTTAAATAAACTAATCATACTCTCTTAAGTAAAGTTTACTCCATGTTTATCTCCTGGAGTCAATATTATTACTTTGAATTAAGTTGTTATCAGTGCATTACAGATAACATGTCTCTCTCTTCTTTGGACTGTCAGGACAAATATTACATGCCAAGAAACACTCACTCATTTGCTGGTCACTCCACCATACCCTGTGGGTGACCACTTAAAACAGGTGTGACTGTATTCCATCAAGGATTTGGGGGGGGAGGGGAGGGTCTTGAGACCAATTGAGTAGAAATGAGCAAGAGAAAGGATGTATTCAAGAAGGTCAGTTGAGGATTAGATTTTTAGAAAATGAATTTTGGGATATAAATTATCAAAGTATTTACAAGAAATGGGTACAAGTAAATATCAAATGATGTCAATTAAAAATTCACCAGTGTCACATTTAGTATGTGGTTCAATGTTGATTTTGTAAATATTTTGATGGTTTGTTTTTTCTTATTCATGGTCCATGAATTCAGGTTATTGTTAATACTGATGAGCTAAATCAGATTGTAGAGGCCACAGGTGCTTCCTATGATCAAGCCAATCAAGCCTACATTGTAAGTCAATAAGCAGACACTGATATTTCTTCTTAAAAACAGAACAGTTTAAGTGTCAGGTAGTGAATATTCTGAGTAGGAGAGTAACATTATTTTGATTGTGAAGTTTGATCATCTGGGTTAGATCAGTAATGAGATAGACTACTGTTGGTAGCAATGACTTACATTTTGACAACCTTGGTAGAGGATGTCATCATTGGAGCCAACTTGCCTTCAATGACTACTTCCACTGAGGTTACTATTCAATTGTCAGTCAGTACTACCTACAACAGTCCTTCTCAGGACCACCCTTAAAACTCTTTGCATAACCCATTAGACCACTCAATTCAGACTCTGCATTGGTCATGTCTTCTTCCTTTCTATATTTAAACCCTTCACACCCTAACATCAGTATCCATGTTCTCTATAATCTTTTCTATGCATTTCCTTTGGAACTGACAAGGAGAATTCATTTAAAAATCAAAGTATCTTTAGTTGGCATTCATTTTCTTTATTCTTATGATCTTAATGAATGATTCTGTAGTGTTACTCTAAGGAGAAATTAGATTATGGTCACTCTTTGGGTTTAAAGGGTTAAAATTGATACTGGAATTGATTTTATAATTCTGAATCCCTTTCATTGCTGTATCTTCAGGCCAGTGGCAATGACCTTCAAAGAGCGATAGCAATGTTGACAGACACTCAGAATCCTAATGCCTCATTAAAGGTGCTTTTCACATTTTGATGTCATGTTTCTGGTATATGGCAAGGTTGTTGTTGGGCACTGGCAGCCAGTGAAATTTTCAGCAGGAAAAAGCAGCTTTGACTTGCATTAACTCGCTAAAGCAAATAAAAGACTGTCATCTATTTGAAAAGATTTAAATATAAGTCTCACAAACTTTAGTGTTAGTTTTGCAAATGGCTGGGAAACAAGTGTTTTCACAAACCCTAAGGTCCAGTTTTTTATCGCACACAAAGCACCTTCTTGGATGCACCATAATTGAGCCCCCTCACTTGAAATTTTTAGTTGGTAGCTGAAATTTCTCAGCAACAATCTTGTTAATGGTGTATTTCTGTTTCTTGGATGTGGTTGTACTTCATACTTCTAGGTATGCATGGATTGACTTAGTAGCTTGTAAACCTATTGGCTGATTATGAGCTGTAAGTTTTTTCTAAGTGCTGGCTACTGGCATAGTTCAGTAGCTGAGAAAGATTAGGTGCAACTCTTGTTTCCAGATCTCCCTTTGAGCATTCTCAGTTCTAATCTTAAATGACAGACAATTTCTTTAGTTACAACCCTGAACCAGATGAGGTCAGTCAAAGCACCACAGGAAATTTGGAAAAGATGATGATTTCAGTGTTCCCTTTGTCAGTCAGAAAATTGGGGGTTGTGGATATGTGTATGTTTGTGTAATTGTATATTAGAGTTAATGCCATTGGAGATAACATGGTGATGAATGATTCATCACATAATCAATTCATGAAACAAAAAGTACATTTGCTTATTGTAAAGGGAAGCAA